CAACGTGATATTTTGTAATATTTTGTCAAAACCACCCCCTCCTCCCCCTAAAAACCTCACGCGATTAATGGACGCCCCCTTATATGCTGCAAGTGAAAAACAGATATTCTTATTAATTATCTGTAACAATATCTGCTTTTTGGAACATCCAAAACATATAAGTAGAAGAGTACATTTTGATGAAGCTAGAGCAGTACAGAAGTCGTATTTTAAGAAATTCGAAATTCCAGACGGGGTAGCAAATTTGCGATGTTCGGATGATCGAAATTCAAGCATATTTTTTCCATTTTCAAATAAATTTTCCTTGTATCAGTTTTCAAAAAATTTCATTTCTAGCGTGTATGTGTGCATGTGAATGTGCATGCCGCCGCAAATTGGCGAGCTTTTGAATTTCTTTCAATTAACACTGAACGCAGACGATATATCCATCATTTCAGGCGTTGAGGATGAGATTTGCCCGTATGCGACATTCCACCTTCTAGGTTTCAGGGAAGAGATGGATCCAGGAAAAGCTTTGAATTTCCAGACATTCCCACATCAGAATGGGCACACACCGGTGCATCAGGAAGGAAATAGACCACAACATGCTCATTCGCGTGCTGGTAGCCAATCTATGGTAAAAACCTCTTTCATTGTAATTATTAGTGAAAAATAATCTAATCAATATTGCATAAAATAAATCAAAGTGGTGAGTGATGATTGAATGAAATATGGCTGGTAAAACGTCTGCCTACTTAAAAGGTCTTTCAAATTTGTATATTTTCATTCTTAGAGGATATGTATCACTGCCTTTTTTTTGAATATATAGTTAGGTCGAAAGTACCTAAATGTTAACTACTTATATTCGCTAGGATGCTAGATATAGTTCGTCAAATTCATAATATTGTGTATGTTTTAAATGGCATAATGCATGAGAATTTAATTATATTCTGCAAAAGTTTATTTTTAGTTTTGTTAATTTACCGATTTTTAATAATTTTACTTTTACATTTTAAAGCCTCGCCAAAATAACCGTTATGCTCGCAAAAACTCACAAGGAGGAAACAGCAACATCTATACACCAGGACCAGATTATGATGACCCTGCGAATTGTGCTGAAGAAGATCAATACGTTAGTAAAATTGTGTTAATAAATCATAGTTTAAATATTTGGCGTATTTATTTACGCCTAATTTTACTGAATTCTATATTATATTATATTCGATTTTCCTATAAATAGCGGAGCCGCTATACTCGCGTAAATTCTTTGGGAGGCTCATTATATGGAGGTGCTGCCGAATATGATGACCCAGCAAATTGCGCCGAAGAAGACCAGTATGGATCTCAATATCAGCCTTATGGTGCACCATGTGATCATTATGGTTCAAGAAAGAGCATAGGTATAGATGATATCATATAAGTACAAAATTTATCATACCAAGTTCACTATCGACATAGAAATATTGACAATGTGCGCTGGATTATCTTGTGTTTATCATTTTCTTTTATCTTTAGTCTCACGAAATCCCAATGCCCAAAATAATGGAGGTGTTACAACTGTTGGAAATGGCAGTCCGGAACCTCCACCACCTCCACCGCCACCAAGGAACCATGATCAACAAGGAAATGGAAGCTTTAACGACTCCAAAGAAAGCAACGAAATATCAGAAGCTGAATGCGATCGTGATCAGTTACCTAGGAATTATGCAGGTGAGTTAATAATTCAATCAGCTAGAATTGGAAGTTAAGCTGTAATAAAAGAGTAAATTTTATTTGACTCACATTACATCCGATTTTCTAAATAATATTAATTGAATTGAAAAGTGCCTTAACTATAAAAGCAACTAATATATTTCTAGATTTTTTAACTACATAGATCTAGTTTGGATACCAAACTCCAAAATTTTGAATTCAAGATATTTATTTACTGATTATTGGCATTTTTTATTTTTTAAATTCCTTTTTTGTTTATAAAAATTTTTTTGTTTTAAAATCCCAAATTTTGTATTGATGTCGTCCTTTTTACTAGTATTCTAATATAGTAATTTATAAGCATGCATATTTTATTCTGTGTTGTACATGTCTGTGACTAATTAAGTGCATCCAAGTATAAATTTATCTCATTATACTTATATATTAACGATTCATTGATTTTGTTTTATGTATTGACATATATAGGAAAGTGACAAATGGAAAATAAACCATAATACGAAATATTTAATATATGTGGACCCTCGTGGAAAACGCATAAATGTTATGACTATGTTCAAAGTGCTGAATTAAAGTTTTTTGTTAGATTTTGAAGTTAAGAATAACGAATTATTGATTTGTTTTTTTTTTTTCATTTTAATTTAAATTAAATTAATTGAATTTTACTGCTATTTTCTGTCATAAATACGTTAACTGATGTATTCTACAACTATTTCATTAATTATTGAAATATAATCTTTTCATATAAAATGTAAGAACTGTTTCAAAAGGTTCTTTCAGTGCTGAAAAATAGTTTTTGAGCACTGAAATATCATATCTTATTTTTTCACTTTTCTAATCGATTCTAATAAAGGATTAATTATAAATAAATTTGCCATATATGATGATGTAGGATAGATAACGTTTGATTGTGATCATAAAATTCTAAAATAGTGTTGGGTCATTACTTGACGTTTTTATTCATGGATGTTTGCGACTTTTAGCATACAATAATTTTATAAGTCTAAAATTGCTTTTGGAAATGCTGCAAATAATAACCATTATTACGACAATTAATTTTCTAAGCAATTTTCTAACTATTGATAGGACTTTTCATACCAATGACTAACTTGTTTTGAATTTCATTTTTAATGATTTCATTTGTCATCAAGTTAATAGCTACTTCAAAACCAGTGCAACTAATTCCTCTGGTCATAATAAATAATTTTGGAGATTTTTATTAACTAAAAATGCAGCTAGGTGAAGTTTTGAAATATTTTAAAACATATATGTAAACATGTACGTGTTGCAGTACGTGCTCCCCATCATAAAGATCCACGCTCCACCGAAGAAATGAGGAAACTTATTGACAGGTTAGTGTTGTTCTTTTACATAGGAATTTAGATTTTGTAAATATGACTAAAATTTGTGTAATATGAAAAAGAAAGATTATGAGGAAAAATATTAAAGTTTGCATCTTCCTTTTATTCGAGAAAATATAATAATTTATGTAAATGATTTTAATGAACATGATTGATTCGCCAAACTAAAGAATTTGTGCTACTTTTGTACTCATTGTTTCGAATAATCTTATTTATGTGTAGGGGAGATTGGGTACGGTTGTGCCACTTTTTTTGATCTGGCATTGTTGATTTACCTGCTAGCTAGGAGAAAACCAGATTAAATGGCGTAGTCTTTAAATGCGATGATTAGTCATAAAACCAAATCATACAAGAAAGGGCCGACGACACTCTAAGGACGGTTGTGACAGGCAGAAAAATAGATTAAAAAAATAATAGCTATAAACACCAAAAGGGTTTATAACGACCTTTGTTTTTTTTTTTACTAACCCAAATTTGCAAATATTATTTTGCAATAGTTCTGAAACAAACATAATCACAACAGACCCCGGAGATATGCTTACTGGGAAAACCACGTGGAAAAACGCGCTTAAACGTACTTTTCAAAGTGATATACTTTTAAAGCAGTGGCTCTGACGAAAAAAAGTATTGATTTATTTTTTGTAGATAATTTTATTCTCTACAATTTTGTCTCGGGTAATTTTGCGATGAAACTGACCATTTAGCTGCAAATAGCAAAAAAATCATTTTTTTGACCTTTGGACCTTGTACCAAATTTTTTTAGCTCGCACCGGAAGGGTGAGGATTTTTGAGATTTCTTTTATAATTGTATTTTAAACAGTTTTATTAAGTTACAGCCTATTATGAATTATTGTAACCCTCAGCCTGATTTTAGGTTTAAATTGAGGTTTATATTGACCTAAAATTGGGCTAATACACGTAACAGTTTTCATTAAAAGAAACCGAACAATGAAACTTTTTTTGACTCTTTAAAAGCTATGCGGCCTGTACATCATGTTAATGTAGGGCGCTAACTCAATGCAATAATGGAAACTTGTTCGAACAAACATACTTCATCTTTCTCCCTTTGGACCCTATATCGAAATCAGTAGAGTTTAGAAGTTATGGCGACTGTCACTACCGTACTCTGGCACAACCGTATCTAGTCTCCCCTACAACATTGGTTAAAGGGTTGTTTATGAGTTTTATTTATTAATCATTTCTTAGTTTGGCGAATTTTTCGACACGTTACTAATGATTTTTATAAGATATGGTGTTTCACTATATATTTTAATTGAAACTCCTTTCATTTTGGATGTGGCAATGATCGGATATAGAAAACAGTAAGTTTGTGTTTAATTGCATGAAAGCTTTGTGTTTGTTTTAACTGCACGTAATCGATGTTTAGACAAAGTTTTGCTCCATAATATTTAAGATTTTCATGTTCAATATTCATGGTTTTGTTTAAAACAATTCATGATATGATTCCTATATGTTTTTATGTTTTTTTGTGTCTTAAGCATGATTGTGTCTAACTTCACCAACTCCCAAATCCATTTTCAAATGATTTTACGTTATTTCATTATGATTTGTTTTTGAACCATAAACATTCATGATTAATTTGTTTAATGAAATTAATTTATTTTGTTGTTTATTTATTTGTTTAATGAGTTAATTTATTTAAAATCACATGAAAAAGGCGACTTGAAACTCGTTCATATGTGTCATAGTCTTGACATAGTTTTAATCTGTGAAATGTGTTCCTAATGTTAAAATTGATGATCATTGATTGTGTAATAAATTTTTTTTGCTACGTAATTATTATTTTTTAAAAATTGTTAACAATTTAACTACTGATGAATATTAATTAATTGTTTAACTTTTATAATATGAATTTCTGTTTTTTTAATGGGGGTAACAATAGCACCAAGCACTTAATCATAAATTTTTAGATTTAATTTAACATTATAATTGATCTATTTTCCATGAAATTTGATATCTATCATTGGGTTGTTCGGAAAGTAACTTCGTTAAAATTATGGTACGTAATTTTCGAACAATAAACATATATTTTAATAAATTATGTATTGGCTATTTTGATCGAACATCTTTTGTCATTAGCATAATTTCGAGATCATAAATTTTTTGGTCGTAATTGGCAAAAAACTGATCAAAGTGCTTTTTGTGTCCTCATTTGAGGTAAAGATTTTACTGCCTAAAATTTTTTTAGTGAGCAAAATAGATAGTGGTCCAATGATGGCTGGTCTGGAGAATGTGAAGAATGTGGCATTATGCCCCAATCAAGCTGTAAAAGCTTTTGATGATGTACCAAACTTATGTGAGGTCTTGCATCGTCTTAATGGAATTGTGGGTTAATTCTGACCTTTTCTATTAAAGTACATAATTTAGTATATGCACCTGATGACATAAGGCATCCACATTAACTGTTATGTTATCTTGAAAAAGCTGAAAAAACGAACCACTTCTTTAAAATCTCACCAAACATACTGCATCACCTTTTTTGGCGAATTTCAGCTTTGCAACTGTTTTGAACATGCTCTTCTTTTTTGCTTCATGGGCAATTTTGTATATTGTATTCTTTACATCCAATTTGACATTTCTAGTGACAATTCAAAACCTGAACATTTTTGGGACTTTTCAGAGGCGAATAGCGGACGCCAGTGCGCCGACACAGGTTTCTTTCTATGAGAACCATACATTGAGCTTCGAGGAAAATCCCAGACCTTTTAAGTGGTCATGAACTATTGAATTTGATAAATTTAAACTTAAGGGGATCTTATGTATTGTTATTCGTCGGTTTGCATCAACTAATGCCTTTCTCGTGTTTTTATCAGCTTCAACCATACTTCTTGGACGTGATGCTCTTGGACATCAAAATACCAGGAATGAAATTTAGCAAACCAGTTTTGGCACTGTTGTACTATTAATACTTCATTTACATAAACATTGATCAATTTAATTTTGATTTAAACAGTATTTTTTATCTTTTCTATAGCAAAAGAGTAAAATATGTCGAAAATGCTGCTTAATTCTTTTCGTATTCAAAGTGGCACCATCCAAAAACTACTGTACTGTAATTGATTAGAATTTTTAAAAAACATAGTACAAATTACAATTACAAAATATTAGTAACTTGGTGGTAAAAAAACGAAGTTACTTTCCGAACAACCTTATATTTTATATAAAAACGTGAAGTAAATAATTCAATTCAAAGTAATTTTTGGTTCATGGAAGTCCGTACCACTTCTTTTTTGGATGACAAGAGTGTATATTGAAATTTTTGCAACTGAATTTGCTGAAGCCCTTATCCAAGGTCACAATGAAAACTTCATGTCGACAATTAAGATATGCTATTTACAATATGAAATAATTCATCTCAAATTCAGTCATTTTTGATTCGTGGAAGTCAAACCGTACAACTTCTTTTTGGATGACAAGAGTGTATATAGGATTTTTCAAATTTGAATTTGCTGATGTTTTTATCCAAGGACACAATAATATTTACTTCATATTGACAATTAAGAAATGTTATTTACAATATGAAATAATAAGTACTAAACAATTTTATTTGTGCAGAAACGAAGCAGAACCAAGGTTGCAAACAGCAAACGCAGGACAACTCACAGCCCACCATACTATGGCAGTGTAATCTGTAAATTCATAATCTGAATAAATCAGATATTATTATGCACCAATCTATAGATGCATTAAAAGAACGTATTTACAACCTAAACGTTCAAGCTTAAAATGGCTTAATAATTTTTGTCATTTTTATTAAGTAAATTTTTTGAAGTATGGACCCATGTCCATAGTGGTGATGCATGATGGATCTGCAGGAACTTCGAAAATTACAATTTTAATTTTGAGAATGATTTTTGAGTATATAATTGCATCACCACTAGAATATGGGACATATTCAAAATAGGTGTATTAAGTTACATATAACCACCAATATTATCATTAATTGAATATTAACTTATGATATACACAGCCAGATAATTTATACAGAAGGTTTTCTTCGTTTTTGGATACTGCCAAAATAATATATCTCAAGACTTATTATTGAACCAAGTTAGTATTTATATTAGTGAACCAACTTTTGTACCAATATTGAAATTTTACTTCGTTCAGCATCACTTGGAAACCTTCGAAGTATATTTGTGATAAGTTACCAAATCACTTCGAGAGAAAAATTTGATATAGGATTAGTCAGCGATTGGATGTCTCCATATTTTAATTCGTCGGATTTTTTAATTGATATAAGATAATGTAATTTATTTTTTATTTTTAATATTAATATTTGTTACACATAATAATATTAATATTACATATTTTAGATATGTATTTTACCTTATTATGATTGCGGTTTTATTATTTTATAAGCTTTTTGCTTCTTTAACAGATCATTTAATACTTGTATTAATGATTACTGTTTTTTTATTGAATCTTCAATTAATTTTGGAAGACTTTGTTGTATAACATATAGATATCGCTTATATTAGTAAATGTCAAACTTAACGTAATAGATATGATATTCTACAAAGTATGTTAAAAGTTTTGCAATTTTTTTTCAAAGGTATTTTTGCATTTGTTCTTTTTGAATTCGACTTGTAGATGGTTGTGTATGTTTTTTATATGAGGTTGTGCGTTTACAACATGAGTTTGCGTTTTAAAAATAAACGTAACTTTAGGGTACGTTTTATTTGGCTCGCACATCTAGAAATTTGGATAAAAGAAAAAGTGATTAGTATAAATATTCGGAAAATATAGGAAAAATAATTTTAGTTGATCGTCGTGTCTATATTTTGCAACGCACAGAAAAGTGAACAGTCTTCGAAGATGCGGTTGATTTAACTGATTTTATTATTAAATTAAAAAAATAAATTAAATATTCTGGGGATGATTTGAATCTAATGTTAATAAATATTATTAATATTTATTAGGGTTCTTTATCTTCAAGAATATTTGTTGAAGTGATAAGGATTCCATTCTTGTATTTTCCACCTACCAATATCTAAAAGATTCTATCCAATATTAGGATTTTGTTTCATGCCAGGGTGACTATAGAAAATTTGGAAATTTTGGAATGTATTTGAGTATAAATCGTCAAATAGTTTAGTTAAGGTTTTGTTTATCCTAATTATTTTTTTGTGTGATCAAATCTTCTAGATGTGCCACGAAAAGTCTTATGCTGCGGATGGGCGTTTCGTTTTTTTGTATATTAATAATCTTTGTGAGAAAAATGTGATATGCTTTTAGTGTTTACATCTAATAATTTTTGCGTAGTTGTTTTTATTTTGTGATCGGCTTTTAATTGATAGGTATTAATGTTCTCTAATCATAGTAACTCCAAAAAAAATACAAGAATTATTGATGATATAATGATATACCCTTTTATTAAAAACATACTTGCGCTTTTATCAAAATAACTAACCCCTAAAACTAGTTCAGAGATCACTGATATTATAAAAGTGGTTTCATTGTGCTGTTCGATATTACTACTCATTATCTTAAAATAGACTTTTATCCAATGTTTAAAAATATTAAAGTATCGACTAAATGTTTAAAGCTCAATTAGCTTGTTAATATTAGGTTCTTTTAGTGTAAACATATATAAGTCGAAATATATGTATCTACATACACGACTCACGTGTCTGTAAATACATATATCACACATATTTATGTATATGTAAATGTAGGTTATATAAAATAGAATTAAGAATTTATATAATGGAAGCTTTTTCAAATATTTTTAATATCTTCTATTGGATTTTGCTGCTTTTGCTATATTCTTACGAGTAGTTGTCCTACCTTTGTTTGATGATGAGTTCGATTTTAAGCCCTTGTTATTTGTATTATTGGTAATGAGAAAAGTGCAGTTTGATTGTTTCCTTTTGTTTACTGAATTATCATTAAATTTTGGTAATACAATAGCGTAAACCTATAGATAATATGTAACAGTCAAGCGATTGTGCTTGCTAGTCTAAATCATTACAACATTATGATGTGTATTATGCATTATAAAAATATATACTCTATAATAAATAATTGTGAAGTTTTATTAAATTCCCGTTGGGTAAGTTATTGTACTCGTCCAAAAATCGAAATTGAAAATTCCTGCATTTCTTCAAGTTTCAGTGGTTTTTGAACATTTTGGCATACCTCAAAAAAATGGATGTTTGCGGAGACAATTTTTCGTCGACGATTTTGGGCGTATGGATAAACCGATTTGTAAAATTCCAAAATCAATCGATTCCTATTGAAGGCTGATTAGTTTTTGGCAAAGGTAGGTCCAGCCGTTACAGAGATACGGAACAAAGAGTGTAGAAAGTAGAAACCGAGTTTTTGAGAGAACCGAGTATCCATGGAGCATATCTAGGGCATGGAGAAGTCATCAATATATTCTAAACTAAAAAGTTTCCTGAATTGAAATGGACCATACTAAAACTTTAAAGCTTATCATGTTTAAAATTCGAATACATTAAAATATTCGGTAAATCTCTCTGCAATCCAATTTATGTTCGTATAATACACGGGAAATGCATTAAGGAAACAAACTCAAATGGCATTTTTAATTATGTTTCTATTTATAATTTAGGCGATGATACAAAAGCCAAAAGTTGGATTGGATTTTAAACAATTCAAAAATTTGTAAAAAAATTCAAAAAGTTGCGATGCTACAAGATCGGCTAGGTTGTATTAGAAACACTAAACTATTTCTATATTACTGAGGATTTCAATTCAAATGCTCTTTAGAGGCAGATCAAAATTATAACTTTTATGGAGTTATTCTTTTCATAAAGGTTCATGATGAATTTATATTTATAGTGAAACTTACATTTAATTTAATTATCTATTTATTAACAACACGAAGAAAAATCTTAATTTCCCAGAAAATCCGATTGGATAATATTTGTTTTTTTCAGGTTTGAAGTCATTCTGAATCGTTCGACTCTAAAATTGATAAAGATATGTGAGTCTGATGTATGAAAGTGAGTCAAAATTTGGATATTCTTCGATGTTTTAAATATAAAATCCATTAGATGAAACTCGATAAGGATTCTATAAGGATTTGGACGAGAGACGATCGGCAGAGCCGTTTCTTTGAATTTAACAGTGTAGTACAAACTATAAAAAGTATGAAAGATATCAGTTGGTAATCGAGCTTATTTGTTTTTTGGGTAATTCTTCCATAATTAATAGTTATTTTTTGGCGATTTTGATGAAACTTTGTACGATGATATAGTAGGTTTAGTTTAAACTTTATTGAGTAAGTTGATTATTTATTGATATCAAAATATTTTTGTAACTTGTTCTAAGGAAAAATGCCACTTACACCTAGTTTCATTGCATTGACATATAAACTACAATATGTTTGACGAATGCATATTGTAATTATTTTATTAGTTGACGAGTCTAGTGATGATCATATTATTACATACTTAATAATTATATATTTCCATGTTTAAAATTTGTAGTTTGGCTTATTTGTAGCAATTCCTGGAGAAGTAAGAAAACATTATGATCTATGATTCTAATTTTCTGAATAAAAAACTTCTTTCTCCCTCAAAAAAATTTATATAATTTTTCTTTTTTTTCGTTATACTTTTCAGGACTATTAGATGTTCCATACCTCGAGAAACATATAAGAAAATATTTTTTTAATTTTTTTCTTTTTGAAAAAAAGGGGTTTCTGGTTCTAAGAATTATAAACTCAGACAAACTCACACAATATGTTGATCTATATTCATAAGTAAAAATGGAAGTTGGGGTTGCAAAGCCAAAGCATTAACAGATTCTGAAAACAAAAACTCTCAGCAGAAATATTGATAGGTTTAGATTAATATATGGACATAGTTACGGAATCCATCCCGTACGACTGCATACGACTGCATACGACTGCATACGATTGCAGACGACTGCATACGATTGCAGACGACTGCATGCGACCGCATACAAGTCGTGACAAGAACGAATTTGTTACATAATCAATTGCTATTTGTATAAGAGGCGGCATTGATATGCTGATATCATTATTATACATCAAATTGGCCAGTACACTTGTCAGTCGGGATTTTTATTTTGTATATTATAAATATATTGTAAAATTAAAGAAATGAAGATTTAGTTTTATAACCAAGTATATAATTGCATTGTGACGTACTTCTTGGAATTTTCCTGTTCGAGACATTTGAACTCCACAAATATTATATGGATTTACATTATTTTCTATACAAAGCCGCATCAAAAATCTCCGTGCGATGTGTTGAATAACAATTGCCAGACATGGTCTCCATTTAACCAACCGAGATTTAGCTCGAATCTGGAACAACACGTTATACATATTTATATTCGGTCTTTGATATACTAGTGGCATTATGGTAAGACATATTGTCTCTAAAAATTGTGGTATAATATGCACCGTAATTAACTTTCCGAAGAAGAAGTTTGTTTTTGACAGAAAATACTATTTGCCAATTTTATGTTTTTCGAGTTTCAAGTCATTCTGGATCGTGTGAAACCAAAATTGGTTGCTGTGTCTGAGTGTTTGCATGTATGTGTAAGTTTGTAAGCTAATATCGGACTCGATGTCTGTGTTTTTTCAAAAACGGCTGCAACGATTTCATAAATTTGAAAGCCATTTAATGGACTAAAGTTCATTTAGAGCAAATATTATTCGTCATGTTTTCGGCAAAAAGTTTGAACCAACATGAAAATTAAA